GTCTTTGGTCCATTGCCAGCAAATATGACTGACAAGAAGAAAAGAAAAGTTCACCTCATTTTTTGACTGAAACAGAGATCTACTTAACATGTTTGGTATTCTCCAAAACAAAAGGCAAAGTGTGTTTTAATGGAAAATGCAAAGCATCACATATAATTACATGCGCGAAACGAGCTACGATAAGAGGCTGCCCTAACTTCTCCCAAAATAAGAAAGCAGAGATGATTGCTTATCATCTGTATTCTTTATGCTTTTCACCTTCTTCTTCACTGGACTTGTTTGGTTGCTTTGTAAATTCTCGTGCTTCGGTTGAGAAGGGTTCTCCATTTCCTCCAATCCTCTTTTGACATAAGAAATTTCAGGCTTTTTGCTATCCTCCTCCTCGTCGATGACTTTTTGCTCAACATCATCTGAACCTGGTTCTTCCTTCAAATTGCAGGGATCATGTTCTTGTTTGGATGATTTCAGTAATTCAGGCTCTGGTTCGCATTTAACTTCAGATTTCTTTGTGAAGAACGTTGATAACGGTTTTTCACCGGAAGCTTTCAGCTGTATCTACAGTTCATAAAGCAGACAAGTAAGTTGGCCGTGGATTGCTTAAAAGGTAAATGGTATGAATCCTCTTAGTTTGTACTCTTCTTCCAACACTTCACTGATGAACGTCTTTCAAATTGTCTTCCTTCAATAAATATCACTAAATCAGTGTGTTTTCTTGTAGCTATAAGTGTGTTTTTGGCATGGCATGGAACTGAAGTGCATCTCATTTGTATCATATCATCAGCAGGACTGATGCATCCCACCATCTTTATCAGAAGTTACACATGGCTCAAACACATACAAATAGTTTTAAACCAGTACTGAGTTAAAAGCTCACCTCTTTACTACAGGGGGGGGAAACCTAGGGTAGGGTATTAAATTCGGGCGCGGGTGCCCAAAAAATTTGGGCGCCCGCGCCCAAAAAATTTTGCCAGCAATTAATTTTAGCGACGGCATTTCCGTCGCTAAAAACTCTTTAGCGACGGAAATTCCGTCGCTAAAATTTATTTTAGCGACGAAATAAAATTTCGTCATAAAATATTTTAGCGACGAAAAATTTCCGTCGCTAAAATGTGATAATCCGTCGCTAAAACAATTATAGCGACGGATAAATAGCGACGTATGTATCCGTCGCTATAAAGTAACATATAGCGACGGAATTGTCCGTCGCTATTTTTCCGTAGGTACAAGCTCATTTTCTAGTAGTGAGAGCTGGGGGCTTCGAGCTTCGTCCTGTCGCCTGCGTCTGGTCGTCGACAACCTCGCCTGGGCTACCGGAGCTCGCCTGCGACCATCGAACTCGTCGGAGCTCGTCGGAGCTCCTCTTCGCCGGCGGAGGTTTGTTTCCACCCCTAATTCTAACAATAATGATAAACTATTACAAAAGCTACGAGGTCGATTACTTGACTGTCCTCTACCTATAGTATAGGTACCGTATTTCAGTAATCATACTGAGTTTAGAAACTTCACTACTTTTAGTTACGTATGGTGACCATTAAAACTAACATGTAATAAATTGTTTGAAGTTACTAAATTTCAAACAGAAAAAGTAAACAAAATAATGAACTACCATGAAGCCATTCCAAAGCTGAAGAAGAACGAGTTGTAAGAATTGTGAAGGTGTGAAGAACCTCTCCTGTATCAAAAGGTTCAAACAAGTTATGAACACTTGAAACCATTAGATTTAAAGTCAGTACAGTATACTTAAAATACTACAAATATTAATTACATAACATAAGCAGAGGAACTTATATTGAAATGAGATAAACAAAAGGTAAAATTAATAATGACAAACAATTTAAACTACTCAAGCATACAAGGGTACTATTTCTCTATTATCCTTTGAGATCCCAAATCCTTATTTATGAACTATGCATAGTTAGAGGAAGGAAAAAAGAGGGAAATGAAGCATGCAAAAAAGTCAATGAGCTAGAAAGTCAATGGGCTCAAGAACAGCAACACCAATAAACCAAAAACAGAGAAGGCAAGGTGTCAATTAAAATGAAAGACGGGGTGAAGAGCTTTGGCCATCAGAGAAGGAAAAATGCAATGGAAAAGGCGAATATCGTTCTCCACATTTTCATGCATAGATTATGCCAGTGCCAATAGAAAATGACCATCAGCTATGCTTGGTCAGCAGAGTGGGCTTGATGTCACATTGAGATAAATTGTGTGGATCAAGTTGTGCTGCATGAGCTCCCGTGGTAACACGCCAAAAAGAAACTATTGGCAAAACTTGTGGTGGTTACTACAGCAAGGCTTCCCAAACAGGTAATAACGAGCATGACAATTTTTGGAAGATATTGTGGATTCAAGTTTATGGTTTACTAATATACCCTAATGGTCTTTATATCTCTTGAACCCTTCATCTTCCTCTCAAAGTTAGATGGTATCTGATGGTGCTTGAATAAGAATGCTACGTACAGGGTTAGTAGGTCAGACTAAAGGTGTTGATATAAGATGACCTCAGGATTTGGAAGATACAATCAAGTAGCATAAAAGATTGCATCATCATCCAGTGACATCATAAACCCGCTCGATCTTTCTTCTTTTATATAAACCCATCATCTCTTCTAAAATATATCAGACATGAAACTTGGTGCCGACATAACTCAAATTCAAAATCCGAACTATTAAGTTGGACGATACCAACTTGTCAGTTACCACAGAAACTCTATGTAAGAAACAGGTAGAAGTAACTACTGCCTCATGAAATCTCTTCGAAATCCAACTAAGACTAAATTTAAGAGTTCACCAAACTCATCCCTAACACTAACATCAAAAAGTGGGGAAAAAGGTAACTCTTCTAGCATTTACTTTTATACTATGTTAAGTCAATGAAGATTAATATCTACACACTTAACACTTAATATGCTAAACTAATTGAATCAGTGCTCAGATCAACAAGCGGACCCAAAATTTATGTTATTAATTTAACGCAGCTCATTTTGGGGACTTGTTTAATGATTATAGGCAGTGTAAGAAGATTCTGTCTGAAACAAGATGACTAATAAAATGATATCCTTGTCAGAAATGTCATGGTGATATACACCCCAAGTCCCAACTAGAGACAGCATACATGTTCTTAGAACTAGGGTGGAAGTCAACAGTCATACTTATCAACATGATAGTAAAGGCATCCCTCGGGTCCAGGTACTCATTGAAACCTTGTTTAGCTGCTACCTGAACATGTATGATCGCATGACTTAGAGGAGTCATCTTGTGATCCCATGTGCATACGAAAATATGCTTTACATTTTGGAACGAACTTGAAAATTAGACCAATGAATAACTAACTGTTATATCCCTATGCAGCACCCATTTAGGATGTAGAATTGACACGTGAGAGATGAGGTACGATGAATCGTCCGCACAATCTCTTTTGAGTCTCCTGTGTTCAATGATCATTCATGTAGGTGCACCTACAGAGAGATGAATCGAAGAAGATGGAAACACCAAGTCACCATAACCTTGTCTTAAACTTTAAAGAAAGCAATATGCTCGATTAGGAATAAAAATAGTTCAAATGGCTTCTTGTGAATGACTTGTGCGAATTGGTATAAGCTCTAAGTGAACATGAGAAGAAAATTATTATAAAGCCTCTCTTCATTTTAACCAAAGAGACTCACAGGTTGTATCATGTAGTAACAAAATCTTGTTATTTATATGAAAGTTATTGCACAAATTTCTGGTTTTTTGCTTCACATGTAATACCAACCTCATCCTCAAATTCAAGTGCTCACGAAAAAGAGTGGCTAAAACAAAAAATAAAATAAAATAGCATGTACAACAAAATATTAGGGCATTGGAGATTTGAAAAGTATGTAGTAGACAGAGCAGTTGAATCTGATAACTTTACATAGTTATGGGAATGAATAAATAATAGTGATGACTAAACAGAACAATTTATCTGCTAGTGTCAAATAAAAAACAAGATTATGCTTGAATATTGAGTATGGACCGAAATATAGCAGCTGAAGCTGCTGAAGTTCATATAGATCTACCATAGTGCATATTTTCAGCCTGAAAAATCGTGAATATGTTTGTAATCATTCATTTGTAGAATTACCTTCTACATGAAAATGTTTCAAGTCACCTAACCAGGCAATCGTACTTAAAATATCAGTGTTCAAGAGATTGATACAATAACAAATATCTGATATCAGTGAAGTAAAGAGAAAGGGTTAGTACCTTCTGAATTTTCCCAAGAATCATATAGAGCAGCAAACACAAGAGGCCGGTTGTCTTTAAAATGAATATAATATGGCTGCTTCTTTGATCCATCTTTTTTCCATTCATAGAATCTACATCCAAAATTCATATATATGCCTAAAGGTTTGCAAAACAATAAATAACAAAAACAAGTTTATTGCATTTGATTATACTGAATGAAGTTTATCTTTGTTCAGAATTCAGATTTCTGAAAAATAACTCACACTGTAGTTAGTTCATATTATCATTGATAATTCTTTTTTCTCTCTCTATTATCTCCTAATTACTAAGGAGCAAGGTTTTAAATGTCGGATGTCGGGTTCATGTCGGATAGCTAAAATTCATGTCGGATAGGGGAAGTCAGGGATATGTCGGATTGCCATATAGGATGGTTTTCTACTCAATTTTGGCCACCAAGATGGAATGCACTTGACTTGTTATAGCTTATCCTACTTGAGTTGAGTATTGAACATCAAGACACGAGTTGTATTCCATTTCATTAAGGGAAACAGTGGAATATTATGCCACAGATAAACAAAATACACATTGTCAAGCTAGAACTTTCGAAGTGCCTCGCATAAAATTAACATAAAATAAGGTGTCTTGCATAAAATTGACATAAAGTGTTAAGACTTTGGATTCATTTCAAGCTACGTTTCAAACTTATTGTTTACATCATGCTTGTATGAATTCGCAATTTCAATTTGTAGAGATGAACATGAACGATCGCAGTGGAAAAGAGAGCAACAATTTTTTTCTTTGCCCTATTCTATATTATATGCTAGCAAGTTGCGATGGGAACAAAAGGAAAAAAAAAGAATTAATCGGGATTGGGTTTTGAGCACTAAACGTCTAAACCCAAACCACAATACTTATCAACTCAAAAAAGGGCCTATTTTTCAAGGCTGAAAATTGCCCAATATGTCCGCAATATCCCCCAACATGTCCGACATAAATCTCGAAAACAATATCCGACTTGAAATGGCCATATCCGTGTCGCTCTAGCATCTAATCCGACATGTCAACCAACATTTTAAACCATGCTAAGGAGTACCAAGCTAAACTGGTTAACTAATTGATGATCAATAAAAAAGTTAGCACAATAATAGGGGTCTGGGGAAAAGAAAGGTAAATACATTACATTTTATTATGGAGATAATGAATCTTGCTGCCTAGAACTTTGTTAAAGATAGTCAATGGAAATCAAATAAAAAATGTCAGCTTGTGACGACATCATTACACCCAGTTGGTTTATGAGGGGGCTGTGGCCATTTAAGGATTCAAACTGACATGTCAAGCTATTGGGAAAGATTAAGCACAAAAGAAACTTATGTTATCAGAAAGCTTTTTGACACCATGGCATCCTTAGAATCAATATATCTTGTGCCTTTCTAGCATCATATCTCAGCATATAATGAGAGAGATATAATAGTAGCTCTGCTCTATCCATGAATACATAGAACACTTAGACCTATTCAATTTCACGTGTTCAGTAACATTCCACTAGTTTTTCTGCTTTAATTCTCAAAGCAGTATGCTTTTGTCAGATCTTATGAGTTCTCCTCACTCATAAAATAAAAATTTTCTTTTCCCTGTATACAAAGTTGCTGACTTAAAATTTAAAAAAGCTACTAGAAAGCTGATTGGCTTCAAATTTATACACAGCGTGGTACCACAGAGCTCAAGGCCTTTAGGTAGAACCCTCTATTGACAAAACCCTGATGCATTCCAAACCTCATCCTCATGTTGAACTACGAGCCACAGATGGTCTCATATCATACATAACGTGTTCTTAAGCTAAGAGAAGCTCTAGAACTAACATCCATCTATTCGTACATCAAACCAACCTTTGCACAGCACATAATCAGATGGCTAATAAGAGTTAGAACATATTGAATCCTTTACAGGAGAATCTACAGGTAACAGAATCCCCTTATCCACAAACAACCAGGACTTGGTAACTAAGAGTCTAAGACCCCAGAATGGATTGTAGGATAAGTAAGAAATCTAGCACTTAAAACAGGTTAAGTGACAGCCCAACAAAAGGTGATTAGTTTGACCTGCAAAACTTTATTTTGTGTTCCATGTTGAACAAAACGGATGATAAACTGAGCATGCTAGCAGAGAGTTAATTTAGGGACAAAGGATTGAAAAAACCCATTGATGTTAGAATTAGAAATGTGACATATTTCAATGGAAAAGGCACACCAACACCTTCCAACTAAAGCTAAGTAGAAGCCTAAGGTTGACAAATGGCCCTTCAAATGTGAGCATAATAGGTGTCACCATTGCTATCATCACCATTCTCATTATGATCTGTTTCCATCATCGCCATTGTCGATCACTGGCTGCAGCATTGTTGGATAGCGGGTTCCTAATGAGGTTATTAGGATTCCTAATCTATTTTGGTAACATGAGGTTATTAGGATTCCTAATCTATTTTGGTAATAGGTTATTAGGATTCCTAATTTGATTTGGCTTTTGGTTTAGAATTCCTAGTATGTTTATGATTTTAGGATTTCTATATATATAGAACAATTGGAAGAGAGAATTTGGAGAAGCAAATTGGGGATATTTGGAGCACAGAAAAGAGATATTTTCTGAGCTATTTGTTTAGGGTTTTGTTTGGAGAGATTAGGAGCTTGTTGGTGAGATTAGTTTGTTCCTTCGAGTGAGTTGTAATATCAGTTTGTACTCTTTCTCTATTAGCGAAAACCTCATCCCCTTTATTACCCCGTGGACGTAGGCAACTTGCCGAACCACGTTAAAATTGGTGTTTTTTTTGTGCATTGATATTTAGTTCGTTTGGCTCTTTTGGATTGGCGTTTGGTTTGGTTCCTCGACACAGTTTTTGGCACAACAATTTGGTATCGGAGCTCGGGCTACGCTTGGGCTATTTGGTGGAGTAGATCGATTTGGGAAGCTTGTCTAGGGTTTCAGTTGGTGAGAAAGGTGGGATCTTTTCGGTAAAGCTTCTTTCTTTTCTCAGTTTTGGATCTATTCTTTGTTTGTTTCCGCATTGGTTGTTGGTGTGTTGAGGATTATGGTCGAGAAAGAGGGAGTTGAGGGTAGTTCTTCAGGTGTGAAGACTGTCCAAAGTTTGAGTATCCACTCGATAAAGATTGACGTGGAGAAGTTCAATGACACTAATAATTTTGGACTTTGGCGATGCGAAGTCTTGGATGCGCTCAATACGCAGAATTTAGAAGATACGTTGGAGTTGGACGGGAAACCGGACGACATTGATGAGAATGTTTGAAAAAAGATGAATCGGACAGCGTGTGATGTGATTAGGTCTTGTCTCACTCAAGATCTAAAATATGATGTGATGAATGAGACTTCTGCGAAGAAGATTTGGGAGGTCCTAGAGAGCAAGTACTTGACTAAGAGCGTTAAAAATCGCTTGCATTTGAAGAGGAGGCTTTATCGCTTCCAATTGAAGAAGGAGACATCCATTAGTGATCACATGAACCACTACACGAAGCTTCTTGCAGATTTGGCGAATGTAAATGTCATTGTTGAAGATGAGGACAAGACGTTGCTATTGTTGAGTTCCTTGCCCGACGAGGAATATGAGACGTTTGTCCTTACTCTTATTAATAGGAAGACATCTCTTTCATATAGTGAGGTCACCGCTGTATTAGTGAATTACCAACTCAGGAAGAAAGACAAGGAGACTTCTATTGAGCCGGTAACGGGGGCATTGGTTGCAAGAGCAAAGGGTCCAAAGTCCAAACCAAGGTAGAAGGTCACATTCTAGAGGAGCACATCTTGAAATTTGTAGGAATCAGTGTGCTTTTTGTAAAGAAGATGGACATTAAAAAGCTGAATGCCCAAAATTGAATGATCAAGCCGGGAAGAATAAGGAAAAAGCTGTACAAGCTTTAGAGGTGAATATTATCAAGACTAGTGGTAACAATTCAGATTCGGATTCTTCAGGCTACTCATTATCTGCACTGTCGTCAGTTTGTGTTGCCTACTCTACAGAGTGGATGTTGGATTCGGACGCTACATATCATATTTGCCCTAGAAGTGATTGGTTCTCCAGCTTTCAGGAGTTGGAAAGAGGGGATTTCGTGCTCATGGGGAATGCTCACAAATGCTCTATTGGTGGTATCGGTACCGTTCGGATCAGGATGAGTGACGGGATGATTCGGGAGTTGGTTGGAGTGAGGTTCGTTCCTCAGTTGAAGAAGAACATCATTTCACTTGGAGCTTTGGAGGCAGCAGGCTATAGGGTGACCTTGACGGATGCACGCTTAAAGGTTACATTTGGGTTCATGATTATGATGAAAGACGTCAGAAAGAATAACTTATACTATTTGCTTGGGAGCACGGTGATTGATAGAGCTCTGACGACTTCATTGGATTTAGCTAGATTGTGACGTTGTTTGGTGCTGGGGTATTTGATTGGTGATGTCGTGCATAGGTTGTTGAGAAGTGCTTTGACCTGCAGATGGAAGTCCTTTGAGCACATTGGGATGAGCAAGACCGAGGTGGAGTTTGGCACTCCTATCCATCGAACAAGGGGTCTTTTAGGAGGTGTTCAGTTAGGCATTTGGGGGCCTTCCAAAGAGGCATCATTGGGAGGTAATCGTTTTGTAGTTTCCGCAGTTGGTGATTGTTCTAGGCATTATTGGGTCGCGATCAGTTCCCGTTGGTGTAAAGTCCTAGAAGTCAACAACAATTGGAAGAAGTGTATTGGCAGAAAGGTAACTCGTTGTTCTAGCTTTGGTAGGGGTCCTTTCTTGCGTTTGTGCCGAGCTCACGACAATAAGAGACACTTCATTGGTGTGAAGACTTTGGGACGACAAGATGATATGACAGTTTCGATGAGTCGTTCATTTCTGGAGGAGGATCGGCGTTGGTTGTCGAGCATTGGTTCTGGAGCTTCGACATATTTGGGTCATCTTAGTCATAGGTCACCGACTGCTGCATTATGAGTTATTGGATCTGGTGGAGCTGCTTCAGATTTTGATCGGCGTCGGATATTTGGTTATCCAGCATTTGGTCACATCGAGGATGTGAGATTTGATCCGATTGCGCGTTTGGGATTCGAAGGCTCATTTGATTATCGTTTGGGAGCTTCTGATTTTGTTCTGAGCAGGTATGTCACTTTTGACTCTCGGCAGGGTGGAGGGTGATGCTACTTCACGTTGGGTGGAACTTATTCCACATACTCCAGATCATATTGCGTCATTTGGGATTCTAGCTGAGGTGGCACAGGTCGGGGATCATTTGATTTCGGATACAGATGATGGATTGGTTTTGGATTCAGTTGCAGCTAGTGGACATGATTTGGATACGGGCATTGGTTCACCTCAGATAGAGGTGTTTGATTTGTATCAGTTTGGGACCGCTATCAGTTACAGATCCGTTGGCGATATTGGGGAAGAGTTACAGATTTTTTTATTTGTTTGAGGACCTTTGGAGGCCGTTTGAGTGAACTACGTGAAAGCTTTGATTCATTGGGCAAGAGTATACGTAGGCAGTCAGTTTTGATGCAGCCGATTTGGTGAGTAGACACCGACATTTGGGTGAGTGTTCGCACTCCCGTTTGGGTCTCGACTTGTGTGGATGGAGTCCGTTGTCATGAGTCATTTGCCGTGACGTACTGGATGCAACAAGTGAGGCATTTATTTTGGTTGGTGTCGGCTTAGTTTTGGAAAAACTTCGCCGAGGTGAAGAATTGTTGGATAGCGGATTCCTAATCTATTTTGGTAACATGAGGTTATTAGGATTCCTAATCTATTTTGGTAACATGAGGTTATTAGGATTCCTAATCTATTTTGGTAACATGAGGTTATTAGGATTCCTAATCTATTTTGGTAACATGAGGTTATTAGGATTCCTAATCTATTTTGGTAATAGGTTAGTAGGATTCCCAATTTGATTTGGCTTTTGGTTTAGAATTCCTAGTATGTTTATGATTTTAGGATTTCTATCCCAATTTGATTTGGCTTTTGGTTTAGAATTCCTAGTATGTTTATGATTTTAGGATTTCTATATATATGAAACAAATGGAAGAGAGAATTTGGAGAAGCAAATTGGGGATATTTGGAGCACAGAAAAGAGGTATTTTCTGAGCTATTTGTTTAGGGTTTTGTTTGGAGAGATTAAGAGCTTGTTGGTGAGATTAGTTTGTTCCTTCGAGTGAGTTGTAATCTCAGTTTGTACTCTTTCTCTATTAGTAAAAACCTCATTCCCTTTATTACCCTGTGGACGTAGGCAACTTGCCGAACCACGTTAAAATTAATGTTTTGTTTGTGCATTGATATTTAGTTCGTTTGGCTCTCTTGGATTGGCGTTTGGTTTGGTTCCTCGACACAGCTTTTGGCACAACAAGCATTATCATGATACCATCATTGGTTTTTCCTATCAGAGTGGTGTGTGCTACAGGATACAAGTCTGCAGATATTTCAGATCCAGAAATATAAAAGCGGTGACATTCTTAGAAAAAGGGCCCCAACCCCAGAGGTTCCCTCCCTACAGCCAAATGCTAAAGGCACCAAGTAAAGTAGATTAACCAAAAGGTACCAAGCAGAAAATTGATGAATGCCATGACCAGCATATTTATTAGCAGTCGTGCGGATCCAACTCTCTGAAAAAAATGGATCTGACCTCAATTATCCATAGTCAAACCTTTGTAGACTCTTCATGGACTGGCCTCATGATAGCTCTTTAAGTTTAAGCTCCGAGATCTTCGATTATGTTATCGAAAGAATCAAGGGGAGAAACTTGTGCCTAACATAGCCGACTCATGATTGACTTCACATCAATATAACAACAATTTCATGCCATTACATACTAAATTAGTAGCATTAATCAACTATATATATAACTTCTTCACAAATATTGAAGCCAAATTCATAGTCAAATGTAACAATCCAGTGATCATCATATCATACCCTTCGACTGCCACTAGACACCTGTTCTTCGGAAGGAGCCGCCGGAAAGACGCTTTCTCCCGAACCGATTCAGACCTAGCATTGAACTGAACACCCCCACAAAATAACAAATCAAACCCCAACCAAGCAAGAAAACCCTAACCCTAGGGTTTCGTTTCATCTAGCAACCAGAAAAAAAAAAAAGAAAAAAAAACGTACCATTCGATAGTGATCGGGCTTCTCCATCTTCTTGGTGAAGCTCGGAACGAGGCCCCACTTCATGCAGTGAACGACGGGCCCCGGCGCCGGCGCCGGCGCCGCCTCCCCTACACAGGAGGACGTCGCCGGTGATCTCTGAAGCCGAAAGACTGGGAGATAAGCTCCTGGCGCAACGTTGTAAGAGGGCCGGTACCTGAAATTTGAAAGAGGATTAAAAACCCTAGAAATTGAAGGCGAAGGGTTTTTCAGTTTGAAAAAAAACCGATCGAGATGTTGAGTGGGGACTGAGGAGGCGTCGAGGGGGCTGAGGCCGCAGGCTTGGGCGACTTGGTGAGCGTTCAGGGTGCACCGACCTCTCCCGCACATTTTTTTTTCTCTTTCTTTTTTTCCCCTTCCTCTTTCTTCCCCTCCATTTTTTCTACAGAGGCGGGAAAATATTTTACATGGCTTTAGTCATGTTGAACCTTCACGTCTTTGCTAATGGTATATTACCCCCCCAACCTTTTACACCTGTAACTTGGATTAGATTTATTTTTAATTTTTTTATGTTTTTTTAGCTTTCTAGTGTTTGAGAATAGAAAGCGACCGCTAATATTTTCCTAGTGAAATTTCTTAGCTTGTTTGTGTAGACAGGTTAGTAAACTCGTCATTTTGAGATCATCTAGAAAGAGCATCTTTAACTTTTTTTTATAACATTTATATTTGTTAGATTAATAGGGGTTAACCCATTGTAAATATTTTGTGCTTCACATGTCAAAACCAACTTAGAACGAAAATCTAAAATTTTAGAATTGATAGAGGTAGGAATATAAATCTAAAGAATTTGAGAGTTATTATATTCAACATAAAATTAAAAGGCATACAACAATGTTGTATACACCAGAACATAATGGTGTTGCTGGAAGAAATAACATAATGGTATCTCAGGTTTTGTGATGCAATCGCCAAACTTGATTTAGTTCAAAATAAATTAGATAATTATGTATATATCTTAAAACTTTAGAGCAAGTTTATTATATTACCCTAGTATGTGGATGATATATTGCTCGCCGAAAATAACATGGAAATATTAAACAAAAATAAGGTAGATCTCAGCGAAAAGTTTGAGATGAAAGACATGGGAGATGCATCATGTATTCTTAGAATTCAAATCATTTGAGATAAAAAGTCTAGAATGTTAAGTTTAAACCAAGAAAAATATTTAAGACCAGTTCTTAAAATGTTTGAAATGTAGAATTTTAATTGGGCACTAACTTCATTGGTCATGGGAAAGAAATTGTGTAAAGAGTAAAACCCTGGAGAAGTGCAAAATCTGTTAGATATTCCTTATGCTCAAGTAGTTGGAAGTTTAATGTATACAATGTTGTGCATCAGACCTGATTTAGCTTATGCTGTAAGTCTGATTTTTCGATATCAAAGTAATCCAGGGTCAACACACTGAGAAGCTGTTAAAAGGATTATGATGTATATCAGAGGCACATTGACTTACAGATATGGTTTATCAATCCACTTCGCTTGATCTCCTCGATTTCTCTGATACTAACTTTAGAGGTGATAAAGATGATGGAAAGTCCACTTTGGGAAACTTGTTTATCTTTGGAGGAGGAGCTATTTCTTGAAGTAGTAAGAAATAGGGATGTGTTGCTAGATACACACAAGAAGCGGAATATGTAGCTTGCAGTATGACAACTACATATGCTGTCTAGATCAGACGATTTTTATTGATCTAGATCTCAATTGGTTAGAAGGACATGTTGATATTTGTTGTGATAATCAAGTAGCGATTAACCTAATTAATAGTAGTGTGAATAGCTCCATGGGAAAATATATTGAGATTTAATATCACTATATTCAAGTTATTGTAGGAAAGGGAGAAGTTAAGGTGACTTACATCCTTACTACAAATATGATTGTTGATCCTTCAATAAAAGGAATACCAGTAAAATTTTTATAAAACATATGAGCTCATGAATAGTGAGAGACATGTCACTTGGTTAATTTGGCCAATGGATGTAACTTGACTCGGTTCATATTTGACCAAATCACCCAAGTTAGTCTCAACAACTGAGATATTTGTGGGATTGAGATAGTGGAGTTAATAGTTAGAAGAATATGAAGAGAATATATGGAGCGGTTCCTAAGGGAGTAGCCTCTATATAAAAAGTAAAAACGTCTAACACACATGAAAAAAAGCTCACGGGAGCCCCCTTAAAATTTCATACTTCTCTCTGTCTCTTCGTACCTCAGCATGAGTAAATGTCGAAAGAGGCGAAAAGCATGTTTTTTTTAAACTTGGAGGGCTTGAAATATTTCCCCCCAAGAAGAAACTAATTTCAATTCAAAATAGGACAAATTTGTAAAAACGTCCTCTTTCCACATTTAATCCCAAAAAGACCAATTTCTACAATATTTTTAAAAACCGACCTGGTTTCAGCATTGGCGCCGAAACCAGGTCAGTTTTTGTGAAAAAAGTAAATCTGCTAAACTTCACGGGAGTTCAACTCCGGTGAAGTTTCATAGTTCAAAAAACTTGATGGGAGTTGAACTCCCGTGAAGTTTAGCAGTTTTACTAAGCTTCACGAAGCTTAACTAAACTTCACGGGAGTTCAACTCCCGTGAAGTTTCGAAAGTTTTTTACAAAAACCGACCTGGTTTCAACGCCAAGGCTGAAACCATGTTGGTTTTTGAAAATATTATGGAAAAGGATCTGTTTTGAGGATTAAATGTCTATGTGAGACGGTTTTGAAAATTTGTGCTTCAAAATAAGATTGTGTCCTAAACCCATCTTTTTTAAGTATCAACCCATCTCCACTCTGTGACCATCTCCACTCTGTGACCATCTTCAAAATAACAGAGGTGATCAGGTCGTGGTCGGCGTACATCCTTGGAGTTGGGATGTACTGAGTTCTGTTTAACATGGATTTTTCTCTAGAAGGGGGGAAAAATATCAATTTATTATTTTTCCATAGATGACGGAAGCGCTTCCATAATAAAAGCAAAAATTAGTATCAAGCTGCCTAATTTTGAACGGTGGAACCACCCCCTTCCCCCCCCCCGAGCAAGGCGCTCCCCTCACCGTCGCTAATAGCCAGCGCCAGCGATGACGTCATCAGCAGCTGCAGGGGCGGCGGTTCCTCGGATCAAGCTGGGCTCCCAAGGGCTGGAGGTCTCGGCCCAAGGCCTCGGGTGCATGGGCATGTCCGCCTTCTTCGGGCCCCCGAAACCCGAACCCGACATGATCGACCTGATCCGCTTCGCCGTCGACGCCGGCGTCACGTTCCTCGATACCTCCGACTTCTACGGCCCCTTCACCAACGAACTCCTCCTCGGAAAGGTTTTTATAAAATTAAAAATCTAAAAAAAAAAAAAGAGTTTCATCATTTCTTTCCGAGATCTTGATATTTTCATTTGGTGGTGTTTAATTGATTAATAAAGGCTTTGAAAGGCGGGGTGAGGGAGAGGGTGGAGCTGGCGACCAAATTCGGGATAAAAATGGAGGGGGGCGCGAGGGAGGTGCGGGGAGACCCCGCGTACGTGAGGGCTTCCTGCGAGGCGAGCTTGAAGAGGCTGGACGCCGGCTGCATCGATCTCTACTACCAGCATCGCATCGACACTCGAGTCCCCGTCGAGATCACCGTGAGTTTCCATTTGATCGGTTGCTCCTTTTCTTTGCTTCTGCTGGTCTAGTTTTCCTCTTGTTAGAGTCGGTACTTACGTATATTGATGTCAAATGTACTACGTTGCAACAAAACTCTGAAGTTGTGGTAAGCGTGTCGAGAGTTAAAAGGAGTTTCATACTCTTAACACGCTCCCTCGGGGTGGGAGCCGTTTTTATTGGTCGAAATATGGACTCATCTGGGCTCCCTATTTGTTGTCATAGTGACCCAAAATATGGGACCAACAAGGAGGACAGGTGAGGTGTCCACTCTTATTGCATAATGAGCTGGTCATCTCCCTGTTGGTCTCATATTTTGGGTCAATTGGGGAATTTTTCTTTATTTAATGTCCATGTTAAATTGGTGACAGGCCGAAATTGAACATGAGTAGCTCTAATACCATCTAAAAGGATCCTATCCTTACGCCAAATATCCGAAGTAGCGGTGATGATTGAGGATTATAGTTTTATACACTAACAATAGAAATTCTCTTTTTTGGTGTTCTACCCTCATGTTGATGTTAGTCACCCTTTGAGAAGACTCCAATCATGTCCCAAAAATTATACACATGACTTCACATAAATATAATTTAGAACTTAGTAGAGAGACCAGTTTGAAAATCATAACGGCAATCTAATTCATAATTACCTCCCTATTTAGTGGTAGCAAATTAAATTGGTTAGAAGAAAATCGCTATAATGTGCTCTTTTTAGAAGAGTATTGTCTTTAGACCCTTTTCTTTCTACATTTCCCCTTTCTTTGTTTCCCTAGGTCTGTCGTTGATAAATGTAATCCACATCTGACAGATTGATTACTGTCCAAATCTGAAGGTTTCTTGTCACATGTATAGAAGATAGATTTATGTTCTTTATACTATAGTATTCTCATGTTATTTTTACATTTATCAGATGGGAGAACTTAAGAAACTGGTTGAAGAGGGAAAAATAAAATACGTAGGATTATCTGAGGCCTCGGCATCAACAATCAGGAGGGCACATGCTGTTCACCCTATAACTGCTGTCCAGCTCGAATGGTCGCTATGGTCAAGGGACGTGGAAGACGACATAATCCCAACTTGTAGGTAATTAAGAGCTCTCATCTCTCCTACAAATTTAATCATTTATATTCATTTAGGAAATCAATCGCATGAGTTTTCACTGTTTACGTAATTTTCAGAGAGCTCGGAATAGGAATTGTGTCATACAGTCCTTTGGGGAGGGGCTTCCTATCTTCTGGACCTAAGTTGGTTGAAAATCTAACAGACGAGGATTTCAGAAAGGTATGTGTATTCCAAGAAGCTTATGAACTATTTAGCTGCTCAGGTCTCATGCAGTAAGATGTGCTCTTGATAGTGAAATCAAAAGAACCAGATATAACTTTACTAGAATCACGTCTTTCGAACTGCTAATTGCTGTCAACTGAACCATGCGCTTCTGATTAGTCGTGCATCAACTTAGCCATGTTCTTTTACTACCTAATTAGAAAGCCAAGTAACTTGACTGGCATGTTTGAGGTGATCACTTTGAGGAGTGTCGCCTCCCCCTTCGTGCTTGCTTGGCCAGCTTACCATGGGCTTACCATGGTTGATACAAACTGATGCTAACATTTGTGACTTGATGGGTAACTTCTCTGTCAAATACTAATGCATAGATTAAATCCACCAGCAATTCTTTATAAAAATGCGTCTATAACTGTTTAAGTTCCTTTTAAAGTACATTTCTAGGCTCATTTCACATTTGTCATCCTGCCACACAACTGTTTAAGTTCCTTTTAAAGTACATTTCTAGGCTCATTTCACATTTGTCATCCTGCCACACAAAAAAACTTACTATGTATAATCGAGGAAAACATTTCTAGGCTCATTTCACATTTGTCATCCTGCCACACAAAAAAACTTACTATGTATAATCGAGGAAAGCGGGAGATATCATGGGAATGACACTCCTAGTTTCTCATACATGACCTTACTATGTGACACACAAACTATTCCTATTGAAGGCGGTAAATTTGAAATTCTTAAACAGTTGGAACAATTGTCGTGGTTTTTTTAAAGAGGGATTAGATGCATCTGCTGAGCTTGGGGTCTTGAGATCATGGCTCTGATAAAAGTAACTGTCTTATTTCTCATAATCTGGAAGAATACATCTATGCTTATATGTGGGTCTACGTATCTAGTCAATATCTCAATGAATACATAGACCGTAAAATTCCAACTGTTCCCACAACTAACAATGGACTTTTATTTGCCAGTACTTGCCGAGGTTGCAGCCAGGGAATTTGGAGCAGAATATTACATTATTTGAAAGAGTTAGTGAGATGGCGTCAAGAAAAGGATGCACCCCTTCTCAACTAGCATTAGCCTGGATTCACCACCAAGGAAATGATGTTTGCCCTATACCTGGAACTACTAAGATCGAGAACTTGAAACAAAACATAGGAGCACTCTCAGTTAAGCTGACAAAGGAAGAAATGGTACAGCTCGAATCTTTTGCTTCTGCTGTTAAAGGCGATAGATATCCTGCGACGATTCAGACTTGGAAGGATTCAGAGACCCCACCTCTTTCTTCGTGGAAAAGTGAATAGAAAGTGTTGCCTTCTACTTTTCTATATCAAAGCTTGCGTCCTGCTAGTTAGTAGTAATAAGATCGTTGAGCCCTACTTTGCATGTGGTGTTGAATCAGAGTTGTGTATGAATTGTCAGAACTATCTTTGTTGAGCTGTTTGTATTTGGTTTGTAAGCATAATAATGGGAGATGTTTTTGCTATGACTTGTTTATAGCATATATTTTGTTGTTGCTGTTATCTACTGTGATTATATGCAACAGAGACTAAGGGTTTACTACTATTGTTATTCTGAAAAGGCCCTCAAGTCATCATCAGAAGATTCAGAACCCACCAAACTTGTTGAGACGCTAGTCACGATAGCCTTGTGCCCGCTATTGCTATTTACCCTGTGCCCATTAATTATCAGATCATTGGAGAAATCTTATGTCTTTGGTCCATTGCCAGCAAATATAACTGACAAGAAGAAAAGAAAAGTTCACCTCATTTTTTGACTGAAACAGAGATCTACTTAACATGTTTGGTATTCTCCAAAACAAAAGGCAAAGTGTGTTTTAATGGAAAATGCAAAGCATCACATATAATTACATGCGCAAAACGAGCTACTATAAGAGACTGCCCTAACTTCTCCCAAAATAAGAAAGCAGAGATGATTGCTTATCATCTGTATTCTTTACGCTTTTCACCTTCTTCTTCACTGGACTTGTTTGGTTGCTTTGTAAATTCTCGTGCTTCGGTTGAGAAGGGTTCTCCATTTCCTCCAATCCTCTTTTGACATAAGAAATTTCAGGCTTTTTGCTATCCTCCTCCTCGTCGGTGACTTTTTGCTCAACATCATCTGAACCTGGTTCTTCCTTCAAATTGCAGGGATCATGTTCTTGTTTGGATGATTTCAGTAATTCAGGCTCTGGTTCGCATTTAACTTCAGATTTCTTTGTGAAGAACGTTGATAACGGTTTTTCACCGGAAGCTTTCAGCTGTATCTACAGTTCATAAAGCAGACAAGTAAGTTGGCCGTGGATCGCTTAAAAAGTAAATTGTATGAATCCTCTTTAGTTTGTACTCTTCTTCCAACACTTCACTGATGAACGTCTTTCAAATTGTCTTCCTTCAATAAATATCACTAAATCAGTGTGTTTTCTTGTAGCTATAAGTGTGTTTTTGGCATGGCATGGAACTGAAGTGCACCTATAGCATCTCATTAGTATCATATCATCAGCAGGACTGATGCATCCCACCATCTTTATCAGAAGTTACACATGGCTCAAACACATACAAATAGTTTTAAACCAGTACTGAGTTAAAAGCTCACCTCTTTACTACATCCAGGCCCATCAAAGGATGGTTTACCCATTGCAGGCGTCACGGGATACCAAACCTGAGGAGGAGAGGAATCAAGGAGGAATGATAAGGACAAGAACAATTGACAAAGACGGCACAGCAAGTTGAATTGTAAATGATAGTAAAAAGGGGAACCTTACATCAAGAAATAACAACAGTATACTAGTCACAAATATAGGCAGTTATGAATAATTATTATTATAATACCTCAAGATTGACAAATTGGAAACACCCAGAAGATATTTTCTAGGTAACAAAGCAATAATGACGAGATTACATTAGATACGTTGATCTTCGCAAAACTTCATTATTTAATAAGTAGACAAAAAAAGGGACTCATGTACTTGCAGTTTGACATTCAACAAGAGACATAAGTGACATGATTCACTCAGGAAACTTAAAACTTGCAAGACTGAAAACTTACTAGATCAAGATCTTCACAAGGCCCAAGGACTGTTTCATGTTTGGCCATGGAATCATTTAACCAGAGATCAATTGAACCAGTGTCTCTTAAGATTACAGGCATTCTATCTGTGCAGTATACAAAAAAAATCATTAAATGTTCATAGTTAGACAAAAAAAACAATTAAATGTTCTCCTGAATCCTGATTTCTTTAACCTCTTTATGTTAAAAAATATTTTCCTAATTTCTTTAACCTCTATATGTTAAAAAATTATTCTCCTGATTTCTTTACAGGCATTCATCTGTACAGTATACAAAAAAATAAGTAAATGTTCATAGTTAGACAACTGTAACACAAGATGAATAATGTAAATACACAAATAGGTTAAAGAAATCAGGAGAATATTTCTAACATAAATAGACATAGGAAAGAGCAGTGGAAATTTAACTTTCTGATCTCCGCAGTTAACATCGATTAAACCAGTAAAAGCTACTAAGTAATCTGAAATTTTGAGATATGGCTCCAAGCATGATGATGACATTTCTTCTTATGTATATCTACTTTCACACCGATGGTATAATGATAAACTATTACAAAAGCTACGAGGTCGATTACTTGACTGTCCTCTACCTATAGTATGGGTACCGTATTTCAGTAATCATACTGAGTTTAGAAACTTCACTACTTTTAGTTACGTATGGTGACCATTAAAACTAACATGTAATAAATTGTTTGAAGTTACTAAATTTCAAACAGAAAAAGTAAACAAAATAATGATCTACCATGAAGCCATTCCAAAGCTGAAGAAGAACGAGTTGTTAGAATTGTGAAGGTGTGAAGAACCTCTCCTGTATCAAAAGGTTCAAACAAGTTATGAACACTTGAAACCATTAGATTTAAAGTCATTACAGTATACTTAAAATATTACAAATATTAATTACATAACATGAGCAGAGGAACTCATATTGAAATGAGATAAACAAAAGGTAAAAATAATAACGACAAACAATTTAAACTACTCAAGCATACGAGGGTACAATTTTTCTATTATCCTTTGAGATCCCAAATCCTTATTTATGAACTCTGCATAGTTAGAGGAAGGAAAAAAGAGGGAAATGAAGCATGCAAAAAAGTCAATGAGCTAGAAAGTCAATGGGCTCAAGAACAGCAACACCAATAAACCAAAAACAGAGAAGGCAAGGTGTCAATGAATATGAAAGAAGGGATGGAGAGCTTTGGCTATCAAAGAAGGAAAAATGCAATGGAAAAGGCGAATATCGTTCTCCACATTTTCATGCATAGATTATGCCAGTGCCAATAGAAAATGACCATCAGCTATGCTTGGTCAGCAGAGTGGGCTTGATGTCACATTGAGATAAATTGTGTGGATCAAGTTGTGCTGCATGAGCTACCGTGGTAACATGCCATTATGCCAAAAAGAAACTATTGGCAAAACTTGTGGTGGTTGCTACAGCAAGGCTTCCCAAACAGGTAATAACGAGCATGACAATTTTTGGAAGATATTGTGGATTCAAGTTTATGGTTTACTAATATACCCTAATGGTCTTTATATCTCTTAAACCCTTCATATTCCTCTCAAAGTTGGATGGTATCTGATGGTGCTTGAATAAGAATGCTACATACAGGGTTAGTAAGTCAGACTAAAGCTGTTGCTATACGATGACCTCAGGATTTGGAAGATACAATCAAGTAGCATAAAAGACTGCATCATCATCCAGTGACATCATTAACCCACTCAATCTTTCTTCTTTTATATAAACCCATCATCTCTTCTAAAATATATCAGACATGAAACTTGGTGCCAACATAGCTCAAATTCAAAATCCGAACTATTAAGTTGGACGATACCAACTTGTCAGTTACTACAGAAACTCTATGTAAGAAACTGGTAGAAGCAACTACTGCCTCATGAAATCTCTTCGAAATCCAACTACGACTAAATATAAGAGTTCACCAAACTCAGCCCTAACATCAAAAGAAAAAAAAAAAGAGGGGGGGGGGGGGGGGGGGGGGGGGGGGGGGTTTATACCTGTTAAGTCAATGAAGATTAATATCTACACACTAACTCTTAATATGCTAAACTAATTGAATCAGTGCTCAGATCAACAAGCGGACCCAAAATTTATGTTATTAATTTAACGCAGCTCATTTTGGGGACTTGTTTAAGGATTATAGGCAGTGTAAGAAGATTCTGTCTGAAACAATATGACTAACAAAATAATATCCTTGTCAGAAATGTCATGGCGATATACACCCCAAGTCCCAACTAGAGACGGCATACATGTTCTTAGAACTAGGGTGGAAGTCAACAGTCATACTTATCAACATGATAGTAAAGGCATCCCTCGGGTCCAGGTACTCATTGAAACCTTGTTTAGCTGCTACCTGAACATGTATGATCGCATGACTTAGAGGAGTCATCTTGTGATCCCATGTGCATACGAAAATATGCTTTACGTTTTGGAACAAACTTGAAAATTAGACCAATGAATAACTGTTATATCCCTATGCAGCACCCATTTAGGATGTAAAATTGACACGTGAGAGATGAGGTACGATGAATCGTTCGCACAATAGCTTTTGATCTCTTGTGTTCAATGGTCATTCACGTAGGTGCACCTACAGAGAGGTGAATCCAAGAAGATGGAAACACCGAGTCACCCATAACCTTGTCTTAAACTTTAAAGAAAGCAATATGCTCGATTAGGAATAAAAATAGTTCAAATGGCTTCTTGTGAATGACTTGTGCAAATTGGTATAAGCTCTAAGTGAACATGAGAAGAAAATTATTATAAAGCCTCTCTTCATTTTAACCAAAGAGACTCACAGGTTGTATCATACAGTACCAAAATCTTGTTATTTATATGAAAGTTCGTGAACAAATTTCTGGTTTTTTGCTTCACATGTAACACCAATCTCATCCTCAAATTCAAATGCTCACGAAAAAGAGTGGCTAAAACAAAAAAATAGCATGTACAACAAAATATTAGGGCATTGGAGATTTGAAAAGTATGTAGTAGACAGATCAGTTGAATCTGATAACTTTACATAATTATGAGAATGAATAAATAATAGTGATGACTAAACAGGACAATTTATCTGCTAGTGTCAAATAAAAAACAAGATTATGCTTGAATATTGAGTATGGACCGAAATATAGCAGCTGAAGTTCATATAGATCTACCATAGTGCATATTTTCAGCCTGACAAATCATGAATATGTTTGTAATCATTCATTTTTAGAATTACCTTCTACATGAAAATGTTTCAAGTCACCTAACCAGGCAATCGTACTTGAAAATATCAGTGTTCAAGAGATTGATACAATAACAAATATCTGATATCAGTGAAGTAAAGAGAAAGGGTTAGTACCTTCTGAATTTTCCCAAGAATCATATAGAGCAGCAAACACAAGAGGCCGGTTGTCTTTAAAATGGATATAATATGGCTGCTTCTTTGATCCATCTTTTTTCCATTCATAGAACCTACATCCAAAATTCATATATATGCCTAAAGGTTTGCAAAACAATAAATAACAAAAACAAATTTATTGCATTTGATTATTCTGAATGAAGATTATCTTTGTTTAGAATTAAGATTTCTGAAAAATATGTCACACTGTAGTTAGTTCATATTATCATTGATAATTCTTTTCTCTCTCTCTATTATCTCCTAATTACTAAGGAGCAATGTTTTAAATGTCGGGTTCATGTCGGATAGGGGAAGTCAGGGATATGTCGGATTGTCATATAAGATGGTTTTCTACTCAATTTTGGCCACCAAGATGGAATGCACTTGTCTTGTTATAGCTTATCCTACTTGAGTTGAGTATTCAACGTTAAGACACGAGTTGTATTCCATTTCATGAAGGGAAACAGTGGAATATTATGCCAACAAATAAACAAAATACACATTGTCAAGCTAGAACTTTCGAAGTGCATTGCATAAAATTAACATAAAGTAAGGTGCCTTGCATAAAATTAACATAAAGTAAGGTGCCTTGCATAAAATTGACAAAGCGTTAGACTTTCGATTCATTTCAAGCTACGTTTTAAACTTATTGTTTACATCATGCTTGTATGAATTTGCAATTTCAATTTGTAGAGATGAACATGAACGATCGCAGTGGAAAAGAGCGCAACATTTTTTTTTCTTTGCCCTATTCTATGTTATATGCTAGCAGGTTGCGATGAGAACAAAAGGAAAAAAAAAGAATTAATCGGGATTAGGTTTTGAGCACTAAACCCAAACCACAATACTTATCAACTCAAAAAAAGGCTGATTTTTCAAGGCTGAAAATTGCCCAATATGTCCGCAATATCCCCCAACTTGTCCGACATGGATCTCGAAAACAATATCCGACATGAAATAGCCATATCCGTGTCGCTCTAGCATCTAATCCGACATGTCAGCCAACATTTTAAACCATGCTAAGGAGTACCAAGCTAAAATGGTTAACTAATTGATGATCAATAAAAAAGTTAGCACAATAATAGGGGTCTGGGGAAAAGAAAGGCAAATACATTACATTTTATTATAGAGATAATGAATCTTGCTGCCTAGAACTTTGTTAAAGATATTCAATGGAAATCAAATAAAAAATGTCAGCTTGTGATGACATCATTACACCCAGTTGGTTTATGAGGGGGCTGTGGCCATTTAAGGATTCAAACTGACATATCAAGCTATTGGGAAAGATTAAGCACAAAAGAAACTTATGTTATCGGAAAGCTTTTTGACACCACGGCATCCTTAGAATCAATATATCTTGTGCCTTTCTAGCATCATATCTCAGCATATAATGAGAGAGATATAATAGTAGCTCTGCTCTATCCATGAATACATAGAACACTTAGACCTATTCAATTTCACGTGTTCAGTAACATTCCACTAGTTTTCTGCTTTAATTCTCAAAGCAGTATGCTTTTGTCAGATCTTATGAGTTCTCCTCACTCATAAAATAAAAATTTTATTTTCCCTGTATACAAAGTTGCTGACTTAAAATTTAAAAAAGCTACTAGAAGCTGATTGGCTTCAAATTTATACACAGCGTGGTACCACAGTCCTCAAGGCCTTTAGGTAGAACCCTCTATTGACAAAACCCTGATGCATTCCGAACCTCATCCTCATGTTGAAGTACGAGCCACAGATGGTCTCATACATAACGTGTTCTTAAGCTAAGAGAAGATCTAGAACTAACATCCATCTATTTGTACATCAAACCAACCTTTGCACAGCACATAATCAGATGGCTAATAAGAGTTAGAACATATTGAATCCTTTAGGAGAATCTACAGGTAACAGAATCCCCTTATCCACAAACAACCAGGACTGGGTAACTAAGAGTCTAAGACCCCAGAATGGATTGTAGGATAAGTAAGAAATCTAGCACTGAAATCAGGTTAAGTGACAGCTTAACAAGAGGAGATTAGTTTGACCTGCAAAACTTTTTTTTGTGCCATGTTGAACAAAACAGGTGATAAATTGAGCATGCTAGCAGAGAGTTAATTGAGGGACAAAGGATTGAAAAAACCCATTGATGTTAGAATTAGAAATGTGACATATTTCAATGGAAAAGGCAAGGGACAAAGGATTGAAAAAACCCATTGATGTTAGAATTAGAAATGTGACATATTTCAATGGAAAAGGCACACCAACACCTTCCAACTAAAGCTAAGTAGAAGCCTAAGGTACACAAATGGCCCTTCAAATGTGAGCATAATAGGTGTCACCATTGCCATCATCACCATTCTCATTATGATCTGTTTCCATCATCGCCATTGTCGATCACTGGCTGCAGCATTATCATGATACCATCATTGGTTTTTCCTATCAGAGTGGTGTGTGCTATAGGATACAAGTCTGTGCAGATATTTCAGATCCAGAAATATAAAAGCGGTGACATTCTTAGAAAAAGGGCCCCAACCCCAGAGGTTCCCTCCCTATAGCCAAATGCTAAAGGCACCAAGTAAAGTAGATTAACCAAAAGGTACCTAGCAGAAAATTGATGAATGCCATGACCAGCATATTTATTAGCAGTCGTGCGGATCCAACTCTCTGAAAAAAGCAGAAAATTGATGAATGCCATGACCAGCATATTTATTAGCAGTCGTGCGGATCCAACTCTCTGAAAAAAATGGATCTGACCTCAATTATCCATAGTCAAACCTTTGTAGACTCTTTATGGACTGGCCTCATGATAGCTCTTTAAGTTTAACCTCCGAGATCTTCGATTATGTTATCGAAAGAATCAAGGGGAGAAACTTGTGCCTAACATAGCCGACTTGTGATTGACTTCACATCAATATAACAACAATTTCATGCCATTACATGCTAAAGTAGTAGCATTAATCAACTCAATATATAACTTCTTCACAAATATTGAAGCCAAATTCATAGTCAAATATCACAATCCAGTGATCATCATATCATACCCTTCGACTGCCACTAGACACCTGTTCTTCGGAAGGAGCCGACGGAAAGACGCTTTCTCCCGAATCGATTCAGACCTAGCATTGAACTGAACACCCCCACAAAATAACAAATCAAACCCCAACCAAGCAAGAAAACCCTAACCCTAGGGTTTCGTTTCATCTAGCAACAAAAAAAACGTACCATTCGATAGTGATCGGGCTTCTCCATCTTCTTGGTGAAGCTCGGAACGAGGACCCACTTCCCCGCCGCCGGCCGCCTCCCCTACACAGGAGGACGTCGCCGGTGATCTCTGAAGCCGAAAGACTGGGAGATAAGCTCCTGGCGCAACGTTGTAAGAGGGCCGGTACCTGAAATTTGAAAGAGGATTAAAAACCCTAGAAATTGAAAGCGAAGATAAATTGAAGGCGAAGGGTTTTTTTCAGGGTCTGTTTGGATTCGCAGGGGATGAAGGGAAGTTAAGGAAAACTGAGTGAAGGGAAGGGAAGTGAAAGGAAGGGAAGGGAAGGGAATTCTCTTCCCCTTGGTTACACCACAATTTGGGGGGTAACAATTTTTATACTATTAGGGGGTGAACCAAGGTGAATGGAGGTGAATTAACTTCACCTCCTAAGTGTTCCCAAACAAGGTGAATGGAGGTGAATGGTTCCCCTAACTTCCCTTCACCCTCATTCCCCTCAATCCAAACAAGCCCTCAGTTCAAAAAAAAAAAAAACCGATCGAGATGTTGAGTGGGGACCGAGGAGGCGTCGTGGGGGCTGAGGCCGCAGGCTTGGGCGACTTGGTGAGCGTTCAGGGTGCATCGAGCTCTCCCGCACATTTTTTTTTTCGTTCTTTTTTCCCCCTTCCTCTTTCTTCCCCCTCCAGTTTTTCTAGAGAGGCGGGAAAATATTTTACAG